TCTCTCTCTCTCTCTCTCTCTCTCTCTCTCTCTCCTCTCTCACTCTCTTAAAAAAGGAACAAAAAGGGCTGGGGATGTACCTCAATGGTAGAGTACCCCTGAGCTTAATTCCCCAGTACTAGGCGAATTTAAAAAATTTCCCCTTGGGCTGAGGATGTGGCTCAAGCGGTAGCGCGCTCGTCTGGCATGCGTGCGGCCTGGGTTCAATCCTCAGCACCACATACAAAACAACGATGCTGTGTCCGCCAATAACTAAAAAATAAATATTAAAAAAAATTCTCTCTCTCTCTCTCCCTCTATCACTCTCTTTAAAAAAAAAAAAAAAAATTTCCCCTCAAAATTTTCAGGAACTAGTATAGTGAGATTTCTATTTTATACATATTTGGGTTAGATTGTTACACAAAAGTTTAATTTCCTTGAAGTTTATTTTTAAACATGTATGCTAATTATTAAGCATTTTTTTTTCATGTTTGTTCAAAAATAAATATTTTTAAATATTCCAGAAGAAATCTTTTTTTTTTTCAAAGAAAGAGGGAGGGGGAGAGAGAGAGAATTTTTTTAATATTTATTTTTCAGTTTTTTCGGCAGACACAACATCTTTGTATGTGGTGCTGAGGATCGAACCCGGACTGCACGCACGCCAGGCGAGCGCACCACCGCCTGAGCCACATCCCCAGCCCAGAAGAAATCTTTTATATATGCATTTGCCATAAGGGCTAGAAGGAGGGGATGGGATTCCTTTGCTTAGTTAGAAAGTCTTCAAAGTTTAATTGTAATTTGATCATTGGAAATTACTTTCCCCTAGAGAAAAAAATAAAAAAGTAATGGTTAGGGGCTCAAATTAGTCAGTAGTTAATTTATTGATTCGTGCCAGGAAGAGCTTTGTCAAATAGAAATAAATGAACCAAAAAAATGTTATGGGACCTAAAGTGTGCCTAGGATAGCGCAGTCTGAAATCTAAACTGTTTTCATGACCTGAAAGAACTCCCTCTTGTGAGTGAGGACCCAGCCTCGCTGGGTCAGGCAACTCCACTTGTTGTCCTTAGGACTTGGGAAGGGGCTGCAGCTGCTTGCAGACCTCTGTGTTTAAAAAGCTAAGATCAGGACTAGGGAGATGAACAGCTGGATTAGGGATGCGATTTGGGTACTGACACTGAAGGGATGGACATGTTCGTCAGTTAGCACTGGCAAGCTGTGACTCTTCACCAGTGCTGCATGGGACTGGTTGGAGCCTGCCCACAAGAATGGTGTACTGTGTTCAGCTGCAGACTGGGCCATCCTAATAGCCTCTTCGAAGCCACTGGGCTCCCTAGAGGGCATGTTTTTGGCTTGCCAAGTGCTGGCACAAGCTGAGTCTTGGTGTGTGTTTACTGAGAAGCTCCAATACTTCAGATCCACCTCTGGCCAGTTCCCTTCCTGAACGTGACATTTATGTCTAGATAAGAGCTGCAGTGCTTTTAGCCAGTCAGAAACCTCCAAATTTAACCAATAATGCTCCCTGTTGCTGCAGGACTCCTGGTGGGTGCTGGCTTTGTTTTGTGTTGGTAATGTGCATCTGGGTGTTAAGGATTCTAGAACACTTAGCAAACATAGGTGAAAGCCAGCATGTCAGGCTGGGCATGGGCTGGTGGAAAGGAGCCGGTGTTGCCTGTGTTCACGCAGTCTCTGCCACCTTTTCTTTGTCCCAGAGGGTGGCCCGTGTGCTTTGGAATCAGCTCAACAAAGAGACCCGGGAGCATCACATCACCTGTGTGGAGCTATTCTACCGGCTGCACTGCCTGGCCCCAACAGCCAACATCTGCGAGGATATCATCTGCCATGCCCTCCTTGATCCCGATAAGGTGAGCCTTCAACCCAACCTGCCACCACCCCCCTGCTGGGCCACCCTGCTCTACTTGCCCGAGGCAGACTCATATACCCCCAGCAAAGGCTTTCCAGCCCTGTGGACTCCTGACTCAAGAGCAGAGCTCAGGGCCTGGAGGATCTCTGGGATCTCGAGCCGCCCGCTTTAGAGTTCTGACAATGTGATTTGTGTCCTCCTATGTGAAGGCCACTGGGAGATCCGCACCAGCTGCCTAGCAGGGCTTGAGGGCTTCTGGACTGTTGGCAAAAAGAGGCAGCTGCGGAATGTGTTGTCCTTTCAGAAGTTGTTAAGTGTTGATGTGCAGCCTTGTTCCTTAAGGCCCTGGCCCTGGCACTTCCCCAGGGCATGAGGAAGCAGCACTCTGCTTAGTCCTTGGACCACTGTTCTCGGGAGTGACCTGGACCCCGCTCAGGGGGAGTCTAGAATGTGCGCTCAGTACACAGCAGGAAAAGAGGGAGGAGGCCAGTTTCTCTTTTCCCGCTGTCCAAGTCCCGCATGAAAACACAGTCCCTTGGAGGAGACAGGGCACTCACTTGTTATTGAGACGAGATTCACCGTGGCTGAGAACAGCATCCGTTTATACCACCAAGCTCCTCACCCTTTCTTTTCTGACCAAGGGAACAAGGTTGGAAGCTCTGTTCAGGTTTTCTGTGATCTGGCACCTGACGAGAGAGATCCAAGGCAGCCGAGTGACGTCCCACAACCGCTCCTTCGATAGGTGAGGTGGTGGGTGCCACGGAGACTTGGAGGTTCCTGGTCTGCCTGCAGGGCTGGGGATGGAGGGCGGGTGAAGCTGAAAACTGAACCCTGGCATGTGGGCTGGCCCTGCCATGGCACCCATGGTCCTCTGAGGGAAATTAGCTGGAAATGTGAGCACAGTGAAGAATTTTCTTGATTTGGGGAGGAATGAGGAAGCTCAGTGTGCCTCAGTCACCAGTGACTGACTCCCATGGGAGGACTTTCTGGGGCGGTGCAGAGAGTCCAGACCTCGCCTGGCACGCTCTCCACACTGTGCATACAGTGGTGCAGCCGACCGCCTTCAGGTGTGAGTTTTATTGCAGGCACATTCTGCTACACTTTGCTTTTTTCAAGTGCCCCACTGTCTCTGAGGTGGTGGCTGTGAGGCCGGCACACAGCACTGGGATGAGGCTTGGGCTTCAGAGCATTAGGAGCTCCCCGCATCATTCTAACAGGAAATGGAGGTTGCACCACCTTGCCCTCCTCTGCCTGGTCTGTGACCAGCTTGCTGAAGCTTCCTGGGGTGGGTGTCCCTGTTGCTGACAGTGAGTGCCCAGTGTGCACACCAGAACTGGCAGGCAGGGCAGCAGGGTGTGGACTTGGTGGTGTCACCTCTGCGTGCAGGTCCTTGTTCGTCGTGCTGGACAGCCTGGCCTGCACGGATGGTGCCATTAGTGCAGCGGCCCAGGGCTGGCTGGTGCGTGCACTGTCCCTGGGGGACGTGGCACGGATCCTTGAGCCTGTGCTCCTGCTGCTGCTCCAGCCCAAAACCCAGAGGACCTCCATCCACTGCCTCAAGCAGGAGAACTCAGCTGGTGAGTGGGCTGTGCAGGGTCCTGGGCACAGGAGGGAGGGGCTTGGCTGCCTGTTGTCACAGTTTAGGGACTTAGACCCACTTGACGGTTTTGCTAGATCCAGGTAGTGTGAAAATACCTTATAGACTTATGGGGACTTTGACAGTTTAAGACCATGGACTAGAACTTAAAACTACTTACTAGTTAGTGGGTGTTTTAGTTGGTTTTTTTATTGCTGTGACCAAAAGACCTGACAAGAACAATTCTAGAGGAGGAAAAGGTTACTTGGAGCTCACAGTTTCAAAAGTCTCAGTCCATAGATTGCTGGCTCCATTGCTCTGGGCCTGAGTAAGGCAGAGCATCATGGTGGAAAGGTGTGCCGATGAAAAGCAGTTCAAGACATGGCAATTGGGAGGCAGAGAGAGGGTCAGAGCTCCCTGCACCACAGACAAAATATACACCCCAAAGGCATGCCCACCGCCATGATCCATCTTCTCCAGCCACATCCTATCTGCCTACAGTTACCACCCAGCTGATCCCTATCAGGTGCCTCCAGAGCTACACTTGCAGAGTTTGGCCAACTCATGGCTGTGCATCCAGGCACCAGGTGAGGTGTACGTATACTAGGTAGCACTTCGGCCAGATCTGCCACCAGCTTCTGGGGGCAGGATAGTTCGGTGGTCTCCAGGTGTGAGTGGCTGAAAGTGTCCAAGTATAACCTGGTCAGGTATACTTTATCCATGAAAGCGTCTTACTGTGAACCTTTAACTACAAGGTAAATGGGTTTTTTCCTGACTGTTCTCTTAAGGTGCTTGCCACTGTTGAGTTCTGTTGATCAGCTGTCAGAAAGGCAGACCTAATACACCTTGTTGTACCCAGAATTTACAGAGGCCTCTTAGAGGAGTCTTCTTTTTCTTCTTTGTTTTTGTAGTAGTGAGGATTGAACCCAGGGCCTCATGCATGCTAGGTAAGCACGGTACTACTGAGCTACATCCCAAGCCCTTTTTTATTTTTACTGTTTATTTTGAGACAGGGTTTCAATGCGTTGCCAGGGCTGGCTTCAAACTTGAAATCGTCCTGCCTCAGACTGCCAAGTCACAGGGATCACAGGCGTGTGCCACTGAGCCTGGCTCAGAAACATTATTTTTTCCCCAGAAACATTTTTAACACAAATTTAAAAGAATATAAGTAGAAATAAGGGAAAAAAAGGAAATCTTTAGAAACCTAGCCAGTTCGTTAAACTACAGTGGTTGGTGCTTCATGCAGAGTAACTAATATTCCTGCTCGTTTGTTGTGATTCAGACTTTGCAGTGTTCTAAGAATGGCTTGGAACCCTGAGTCAGTTTGTGGAGCTCACTGGTTGTGGGGTCCATTGGTCCAGGGGTGCTTCTCAGGGAGGACAAGCCCTTCCCATGAGTGAGCGACATCTAGGTGGCCTCCTGTCCCTGCAGGGTCTTTGCCTGAACCTATAAGCTCTGGTTTTCCTTTTGAAAGGAAAGCTGGCTGCCTTCTCAAACAGGAGACATTTATGATCGTTCCACAGTCTAAGAAAGGAAAACTGAAAGTATGAACTAAGCATCTTCTTAAAAGTTTGGCTACAATTCATGTCCACTCCATTTTTTAGTGTTTGTCTTTTTAAGAGAAAAGTTCTGGCTCGACATTTGTTTGGGTTTCGCAAGTCTCCCAGCACGGCCTCCTGCTTCCTTGCTCTGTCTTCTGCCAACCAGCTGCAGGGGCCTGAATGGTCTGCTGCCTCCTGATCCAACTGGACATCTTTGCTCTGTCTTTTCTTTCCCTGGAAGAAACAAGAAGTACAGATTGTTCCAGGCCAAACTGGACAAGGAGAAAGGGGAAGACGAAATCAAGGATGAGGACGAAAACGATGAGGTTGTTGTCAAGGAAGTGAATACAGAATTTGAAGCTTATTCCCTCGCAGATAATGATCATGACGGAATTCAGAAGTTACTGCAGCAGCTTTTCCTAACGGCTCCTGTGAACACTGCAGAGCTAACAGGTCTTTTCATTGAGCAAAGCCATATTGGGAGAGTGATTAGCAAACAAATGTTTCAGAAAACAGTGATGATGATGTAGATATGATGAAATTTTTGGTTTCATAGCCTTTTTTTTTTTTTTAAAGAGAGAGGGAGAATTTTTTTTTTAATATTTTTTTTTAATATTTTTTAGTATTTGGTAGACACAACATCTTTGTTGGTATGTGGTGCTGAGGATCGAACCCGGGCCGCATGCATGCCAGGCGAACGCGCTACCACTTGAGCCACATCCCCAGCCCCTCATAGCCTTTTTAAATTTAACTGAAAGAAAGGGTACTCAGTGTACTGAACAAATTAAAGGGTTATTTCTAAGCTTCTGTGAGAGGAACTGTGAAAAGAGCCTGGTTGAACAGCTGGACAAGCTTTTAAAGGACACCACCAAGCCTGCAGGCTTTCTCCTAAGCAGAAGATTCATTAATGTCCCTCCTCAGATGGCTCTGCTCATGCACCAGCAGTTTCAGAAAGAACGAGCAGAGTCACACAAAACTAAGAAGCCACGTGGGAAGTGCTCCTCATACTTCTGATTAGTAAGACATTTGTGGAAGCAGGAAAAAACAATTCCAAAGAGAGATGGAGCAACCAGAAGGACAAAGTTAAATGTTTGCAAATGCAGAGGAAGAGTTTTTCTATGGGAAGGCCATCGTGAAATTCAACTACTGAGCGCCAGAGGAGAGCGACGCGCACCTGGGAGGCAGGTGGTCTTCAGTGATAAACCCATGGAGCCCTTGCCAACTGCAGTGTTAATTTCAGATAGCGAGACGAGTGCAGTCACGGGTAAACTGAAAGAAAGTCTGTCTGTCCAGCCAGCACATTTTTTCATTCACACTGATGGGGTTATTTTTATAAAATTACCAGAAAACCCAGTGGAGATTTATTGAAAAACATGATTTTATTCAGATTTAAGTCCTTTACAAAAAGCAGGGTTCTTTTCCACGTGCCTGTGAGGTATTACAAAATCTCTCTTTTTTTGGTCAATTATGAATGGTTGACTAAAAACTCCTACCAATGAGTGGGTTGTGGCTCAGTGGCAGAGCGCTTGCCTAGCATGTGTGAGGCACTGGGTTCAAACCTCAGCACCAAATAAACATAAACAAAATAAAGATACTGTGTCCATCTACAACTTTAAAAAAAAAAAAAGTTGAGTAGTAATTTGAAGAATTCAATAAAAATCCTAATTTTTTTATTTAAAAAGAAAGAAACCAGGAGTGCACTGCCCACCCCAATCTTACCTACATAATCCTGTAGAAATCTATTTTTAGAATATTACTATGTACTTCCACTGGCTCATGGATTTCTATCTCATCCTTCCTCCTTTCTTAGTCTTGCTTAGTGTTCATGGCACAGATATGTTAAATTCTGTTTAATAAAAATGTTTGCAGTGGCTGGGGATGTGGCTCAAGCGGTAGTGAGCTCGCCTGGCATGCGTGTGGCCGGGGTTCGATCCTCAGCACCACATACCAACAAAGATGTTGTGTCCGCCAACTAAAAAATAAATATTAAAAATTCTCTCTCTCTCTCTCTCTCTCTCTCTCTCTCTCTCTCTCTCTCTCTCTCTCTCTCTCTCTCCTCTCTCTCTCCTCTCTCACTCTCTCTTTAAAAAAAAAAAATGTTTGCAGGGCTGGGGTTGTGGCTCAGTGGTAGAGCACTTGCCTGGCATGTATGAGGCCCTGGGTTCAATCATCAGCACCACATATAAATAAAAAAAAAAATAAAAGATCCATTTACAACTAAAAAATATTTTTTTTAAAAAAAATGTTTGGCACCAGGCTGGGTGTGGTGGCACACAGCTGTAATCCAAGTGACATGGGAGGCTTCGGCAGGATTGCAGGTTCCAGGCCAGCCTCGGCAATTTAGTGAGAACTTGACTCAGAAAATAGAAAGGATTGGGAATGTGGCTCAGTGGTAAAGCATTCCTGGGTTCAGTCCTCTGTACTTTAAAAAAAAAAAAAAAAAAGCACTGAGGCTGTAGCTTAATGGCAGAGCACTTGCCTAGCAAAGCCCTGGGTTCCATCCCCAGTACCACATACCCACACACGAATCTTCAGCAATATCAAATAATTTTGGCTTTCTATATCTTTTTCAAAGAGAATTGAATATTTAGAAGTACTGTGTATTTTCTGATTAAGAAGTGCCATTGTGCTTATTTTTTAAATTAGAATTAATGAGGAAGTAAAAGCATGAATGGAAATCCCTGGTAGTGCCAGTCCCTGGAGCTGGTTCTGATGAAGGAGAGGCTGATCCTCTTCAGTCTCTTTCACTCTTACAGATGCTCTCCCCAAAGGCTCTTGCACAGAGTATTATTCTGCATCTTGATTCTCCCTCTATGTGTCCCACACATTGCTCCTCTGAGCACATGTAAATGAATGTTTTAGGGGCTGGGGATGAAGCTCAGTGTTACAGTGCTTGCCTACCATGTGCAAGGGCCTGCATCAATCCCTAGCCCTGAAAAATATTTTAATTAAAAAGGGGAATGTATTTTTTTTTTCTTTTAGTACTGGGGAGTGAATCCAAGGTTGCTCAACCACTGAGCCACATCCCCATCCCTTTTTATCTTTTATTTATTTTTAAAAAAAGGTTTTTTTTAGATGTTGACAGAACTTTATTTTATTCATTTATTATATGCGGTGCTGAGAATCAAACCCAGTGCCTCACACAGGCCAGGCAAGTGCTCTACCACTGAGCCACAACCATAGCTCCCCCTTTTATTTTTTGGGACAGGGTCTTTCTCAGTTGCTGAGGGCCTTGGTAGGTTGCTGAGGCTGGCCTCGAGCTACTGGAATTACAGGTGTGTGCCACTGTACCTGACTGGGAACAGTGGTCTGTTGCGTGCATGTACCCGATCTGTTCAGTGAGCCCTTCTCTGTGGGTCTTCGGCCTGCAGTTCAGCATATCTTCACACAAGACATTTCACGGAACACCCTTATCCTCATAGCTTTGCCAATATTTCTGTAGGATACATTTCTGGAAAGGGACTTCCTGGGACAAAATCATAGTATTTTTTTCAGATTGCCTTCCCCCAAAAGTTGTGATAACTGAAATTTATTATGCTGTCCCATCTTTAAACTTAAAAAAAAAAAAAAAAAAAAAAAAAACTACCTGCTTTCCTTGGTCTGTAGGTTGTCCATAATGCAGTCTAGACTTTGGTGGTATATTTGATGGGGGACTTTATTAATGTTGATCTTTCTGCTGGGTGTCACACACCTATAATCCCAGTAGCTGGGAGGCTGAGTCAGGAGGGCCACGAGTTCAAGACCAGCCTCAGCAACTTAATAAGGCCCTCAGCAACTTAGCAAGACCCTGTCTCTAAATAAAATATAAAAAAGGACTGGGGATGTGGCCCAGTGGTTAAGGGCCCCTGGCTGGGTTTAATCCTTGGTCCAAAAAAAAAAAAAAAATTTACCTTTCTGATTTTAAGACAAAAGCTGCCCCAGGGCAAGTTTATCATTGCTGACTCTTATGTTCTAAAGTCATTTGTCACTTTGTGATTCCCAGAGGACTTGCATCGCTGGTTTATCAGAAAGAAACCCTCCTTCAAAGAGACAGGTGGGGCACCCGAGCTTCAGGAAGCCCCTGAAGAACAGCTCCCTCTGAACCAGTTCACCACCGTTGATCGAGAAGCCATCTGGGCTGAAGTGGAGAAAGAACCAGAGAAGTGCCCTCCCAGAGGTGAGCTGAGTGATGAAGACCTGCCCTACTACGTGGACCTCCCGGACAGGATGGGCCCTGGTGCCCCAGACAGCAGTGAGCACACAGAATCGGCAGATACAAGCTCTGGCCACACAGACAGCGAGAACACATCCACCTTCTCGTCCCCCTCCCACGACCCGCAGGAGCTGAGCCATGAGGAGAACTGCTGTGCCCCCATCCCCATGGGGGGCAGGGTGTACCCCAAGCGCTCAGCCTTGCTGGCAGCCTTCCAGCCAGAGAGCTTCAAGTCCAGTGCCAAATTGAGCCTGGTGCGGGCAGACTCGGACAAGACCCAGGCCTCGGAGTCCTTCTCCAGTGACGAGGAGGCCGACTTGGAGCTGCAGGCCCTCACCACGTCTCGGCTGCTGAAGCAGCAGAGGGAGAGGCAGGAGACACTGCAGGCCTTGTTTAAGCACATCCTGCTCTACCTGCAGCCCTATGACTCCCGGCGGGTTCTGTACGCCTTCTCTGTATTGGAGGCCGTGCTCAAAACCAATCCAAAGGAGTTTATCGAGGCCGTGTCCAAGACCAGCATGGACACCAGCTCCACAGCGCACCTCAACCTCATCTCCAACCTACTCGCGCGCCACCAGGAGGCCCTCATTGGCCAGAGTTTCTATGGAAAGCTCCAGACCCAGGCCCCCAACGTGTGCCCCCACTCTCTGCTGATCGAGCTCCTCACCTACCTCTGCCTGAGCTTCCTGCGCTCCTACTACCCCTGCTACTTGAAGGTCTCCCACCGAGACATCCTCGGCAACCGGGACGTGCAGGTCAAAAGCGTTGAGGTTCTAATTAGAATAATGACACAGCTGGTCTCAGTGGCCAAGTCCTCAGAAGGGAAGAACGTGGACTTCATCCACAGCCTTCTGCAGAGGTGCAAGGTCCAGGAGTTCGTCCTGCTCTCACTGTCAGCGTCCATGTACACCAGCCAGAAGCGCTATGGCCTGGCCACCGACCGGGGCAGGGCCTTGCTGGAGGACAGTGTCTTTGAGGAGAGTCTCATCAACCTGGGGCAGGACCAGATCTGGAGCGAACACCCGCTGCAGATCGAGCTGCTTAAGCTCCTGCAAGCACTCATCGTCCTGGAGCACCATCTGGGCCAGGGCCAGGAGGAGGCCGAAAGCCAGCCGACCCTATCCAGGGAGTGGCAGAGGGCCCTGAACTTCCAGCAGGCCATCGGCGCCATGCAGTATGTGCAGCCGCACCCACTCACCTCCCAGGGCCTACTGGTCTCAGCCGTGGTGAGAGGCCTACAGCCCGCCTATGGCTACGGCATGCACCCTGCCTGGGTGAGCCTGGTCACACATTCCTTGCCTTACTTTGGAAAGTCCCTGGGATGGACCGTGACACCCTTTGTTGTCCAGATTTGCAAAAATTTGGACGAGCTGGTCAAGCAATATGAAAGCGAGTCCGTGAAGCTCTCCATAAGGTACGTTTAACTCTGAGGCCTCTTACTGCTCTGATGATGGTTCTCTAATGGACAATTTGCTGTGGATGCCAGTTGGAGCATAAGACAGTCTAATCCAAACCCCTTTAGTGTTGTCAAGAGGGATAGCAAGGAACTGAATGTTCAGATCCTTTAATTCCCCACAGCTTCCCAGGCTAGCTCAGTGCTGCCAGCAAGTCATTTACTGTCATTTTTGCAAAACAGAAATAAAAACATGAATCATCTTCACAGAAACCCTAAGACACCTTAAACCATTTCCCCAATAACTGAATATATATATATATATATATATATTTTTTTTTTTTTTTTAAAGAGAGAGTGAGAGAGGAGGAGAGAGAGAGAGAAAATTTTAATATTTATTTTTTAGTTATCAGCAGACACAACATCTTTGGGTTTTTTTTGTATGTGGTGCTGAGGATCGAACCTGGGCCACACGCATGCCAGACAAGCACACTACCGCTTGAGCCACATCCCCAGCCCTAACTGAATATAAAATAACACCAAAACGCATATCATTCCTATGATGGTTTTTCATTGTGAGAGCTCTCTGGCTGCTTTGTTTATTGTGGGGAAGGTCGCACAGAAAATACACCAAGTACTGGTTTTTTGGTTTATTTGGGTTTTTTTTTTTTATAATTTTTTATTTGTAGATGGACACAATATCTTTATTTATTTACTTTTTTGTGGTGCTGAGGATTGAACCCAATGCCTCATGCATTCGAGACAATTGCTCTACCACTGAGCCACAAGCTACCAAGCCCTCAAGTACCAGTTTTATCCAAATTGAAAAGTCTTTACTTAGCCGGCCGGCTGGTGACTGCCCACTGCAGGACCCATGACTATGTCTGCAAGGAACAGCCCGAGCCTGAGCATTTTAGGATATTTAAAGGCAAAAACTACATCTGGGTTGACGTAGCTACAAGCAATAGGTACAGAAGCTGAATTGGGCAGTTAGCGAGACAATGCAGTGGGTACATTGGTATTTCCCACTCCCACAGGACTTTCCAGGTTGGCATAGCAGCAAGCAAACAGAGGGAAGGGGGTCAAAATGACCCTAGTTCAGTATACATTAGAGAATGGTTACTAAGATCTAGACAGTGATCTCCGACAAGATACATTCCCCAAGAAAAGTGGAAACCAAGGAGAACAATTTTACATTGTGTAAGAATTGCTGTTTTTTGTTGCCAATTGTGTTATGCTAGGTAATTATTAATGGGTACAGAGGTGGGGCTTTCCCAGGGAGAAGCATTCTTACATGATGTGGAGTCCCAAGGTAAAATGGAGTCTATGTGGTCACTGCCCATAGAGCCTGGCCCATAGCATTTGTATGTAGGGTTACAAACCTTTATGGCCTTATTCTCAAAAATTCTCAAAACCTGTTCTTGTTTCTTCACCAAAGCACAACCTCCAAGAAGGAAAACATTTCTCCGGATTATCCACTCACGCTTTTGGAAGGTCTGACAACCATTAGTCATTTTTGTCTTTTGGAACAACCCAACCAGAGCAAAAAGGTACATTTTCCCCCCTAAATTCAAGGCAGTTTTCACATGTTGCTTTTTCTTCATCATGTTATGATTATTTGGAGTAAGTTAAATGTACGTGAGTAATGTACACATGAAGTCATGCATCTGTATGCAAATTATGTGTGACGCAAACATGTATGCAAATGCTTGCATGTGGTACAAATGTGTGGGCAAATGCATGCATGTACATCATGCAAACATGTAGTGTGTTGCTATGTAGATGATGTGGCTAGGGACCCCCATGCACGGGCTCCTTCAAAACTTTCCCGCTGTCCCAGCAGTTACCATATGGGATAAAGCGTAAAGCTTTAAAGATTGATTTTAAATTTACAAATATGTGGTTTTTTTTTTAAACGCATCTTTTACTTGCTGTCATGGTGTTCTTGAAATCTGAGGGTAAGACGTTGTAGCTGTTTTGGCCCTCACTGGGATTAAATCCTAGACAACATCTGGTGCTTTGGTTGAATGATTGGAAGTGTGTCATTTGTAGGGTTGGCCTCCCAGCTGTCTCTCTTTGAAAGAAGCCAAGTGTTGTCTGGTTGCGGGAAGCACACTGCCTGGAGGGGGCCCGGGGCCCACCAACCCCAAGGCACCACTGCCCCAGGAAAAGAGAAACATCACTGCTGGGCTGAGTCTCATCTCAATTTCCCTTCTGACTCTCAGACCTCCGCCGCCAGCGATCCTGCCAGCTTGAGAAATGCCAGGAATGCCATTTTGGAAGAGCTGCCTCGCATCGTGAACACCATGGCCCTTCTCTGGAATGTTCTCAGAAAGGAGGAGACTCAAAAGAGACCTGTGGATCTCCTGGGAGCCACAAAAGGATCCTCTTCTGTTTACTTTAAAACCACCAAAGTGAGAAAGGCCTTTCTCTGCCATCACTTACTTTGTCTTGTATTGGCCCACAAAAGAATTCTTATGTATAGGAAGGTGAACACAGATAACGCCAGTAGATCCCAGGTGGAAGTCGGAAGTGGGCAGCTCCACTTTGTTCATTTGTGAATATGCATGAAACAAGGCAGCATAAATGGCTTCAAGGGTGTTCAAGTACTCAGTCAGCCTCTAGGGAATTTCTGCTAAAACACTGCTTCCTTCTGTGCTCAGCTCTTAGCAGTACCTTTGAAACATGGCACATCAGGTCACCTTGGAGTCTTTTTAAATTAAATTGGCAGCTCACAACCCAGAACATCTCCCTGGGTTTTCCCGTCTCCTTCCGGGCACACGTCCTGGCCCTGACAACCTCTGGTACGTGTTGAGTGGCTCAGAATTGCCTGCTGCAGCTGCTGTCAGTCCAGTGCCCCAGGAGCCACACGTGGCCTCTCCTTATACACAGCACTCGGGTTCTTCCATCCTGCATTCCTTCATTTAGGTGCAATGAAGCACAGGATCCAGAATGTTCTGTTGGTTACAAGGCTGCCCTGCAGGGGAATTCTGATGTAGTTCAAGCTACCAAGTAACCTGCCCTAAAAAGTTTCAAAAAACCCTTTGCACTGGGCCTGTCTGAGCCTATTTCTTCGTCTGTGAGACAAGGTTATGGTTAGTGTTCTGTCCCGTGGGTAGAAAGATTAATGATAGTAATGGGGAGTGCTTATTGAACACTCGCTCTCACCCTCCCCGAAGCCCCCAGGGCAGTGGAGTGGGACTCCCAGTTATCTCTCTAGAAAAGAAACCTGCTAGAATGGAGAGGACACCTCTGTCCAGGCTCAGTTGTGTCTGATGTGAAATAAATATGGGGAGTAAGTTCACAGCACCCAGCAGTCATTCCTGTGCCTGCTGACGTGTGCCAGGCCATGTTATGCACGTGGAGGAGACACAAGGCCCCTGCCCTTGTGGCAGAGACAAGGACCAATGATGAGGGGAAGCCCTTCAAGGAGAGACAGGCTGCTGTGACAGCATGCAGCAGGAACTGGACTTGGTCTGAAGTTACCAGGCAGAGGCTGAGCAGACTCCAGGTAGGAGGAGTTAGCGAGAGTGGAACATTTCAGGCCTGGGAACTCTGAGTCTGCAAAGCAAGAAACAGACAGCCGAGGAGCAGAAAATCCACAAGGACCAAAGGGAGAGAGCTGGGTGACATCCAGAGCCAGGAACAGTGTATTTTAAACTGTTTTAATAATACATTGGTTAAATAGTTCTTAATGGAAAGTCAGCTTTCCACATGGCCATAAGCCAGCCCCAGCTGCAGGAGGCCAGCTCAGGCCAAGGTTCCTAGGTGCAAAGCGCTGGCCGGGCCTCCTAGGTTCCTCTCCCTGACTCTGGAAGTTTTGCATGACTTCTTCAAGACTCATCCAGGGATGGGGTATGGCTCAGTGGTGAAACCCTTGCCTAACATGTGCAGGGCCCTGGATTCCATCCCTAGCAACATAAAAAATAAAAATACGATGGCACTCTGCGCACAGCTGGGGGCCATAGACATCATCCTGAGACTCTGATCACCTCAGCTTATCTCAGCTGACTGTGCCCTCCACCCTGGCCATGCATTGAGCCTGCGTGGGAGGCACACCCCCATCACACACCCAACTTCTTGGAGGGGGACTCCTGGCCTTCCTCTTCCTGGGATCCACTCAGCTATGAAGTGTCTCAGGATGGTATTGGGACACTAATGTGACAGGTCCTGCTCTCTGTGCTTACAGTAGGTGGTGGCCAAATGTATCTTGCATGAGAGCCCTGATATTTTTCTGCAATCATTTTGTTTTCTATTTTCTAGACCATAAGACAGAAGATTTTGGACTTCTTAAACCCCTTGACTGCCCCCCTTGGGGCTCAGCTGATAGCAGCAGTTGCAGCTGTGTGGAGCAGAAAGAAGGCTCAGCGGCTCAGTAAGACAAAGGTAGGGTGAGTGGTGGGAGGGGTACACTTACTCCACAAAGAAGCACCTGAGGCTGGGCATGGTGTACACACCTGTACTCCCAGTCACTCAGGCTGAGGCAGGAGGACCTCAAGTTCAAGGCCAGTGTGGGCAATTTAGGGAGACCCTGTCTTAAAATAAAGAGGGCTGGGGAGATAGCTTAGTGATAGAGTGCCCCTGAGTTTGATCCCCAATACCAAAAAAAAAAAAAAAAAAAAAAAAACAAGAAAGAAACGCTGGAGGGTTGGAATCACAGATGATGTTGCATGTCAAATGGGAAAACCATTGAGTTAACTTCACCGTTTTAAATGTCTCAGTTAATACAGCCACATCTCAATATGGGTTTGGGGCGGGAGGAGCCCACCTCTGCCTTCTGCTTTCTGATATACCTACAATGGTGTGGACAACATATCCTTTTTTATCAGTGCATATTAATTATATGAAATAACAAGGTTCACTGTAGCAGGATCCTACATGCACATACTTTGATCATGTCCTAGCCCTGCCCCCCACCCTCCTTTCCCTACCCTCCTGGTCCCCTGACCTATTCTCTAATAGTCCCCTTCAACTTTTCATAACAGGTACATTTTATGGAATTTAAAAACCACCCATGAACCTGCCACCTGGCTTAAGAAATGGCTCATTGCCTTCCTATGAATACTGCTGTGGGTTATTTATTCCCTGGTGCTAGTTACAGGTCACCACTTTTTTTTTTTTTTTTTGGTACCAGGGATTGAACCCAGGGGTGTTTAACCACTGAACCATGTCCTCAGCCCTTTTTTTTTTTTTTAATAGAGACAGGGTCTTGCTGAGTTGCTAAGTGCCTGTCTGCTGAGGCTGGCTTTGAACTAGTGATCCTCCTGTCTCAGCTTCCTGAATTGCTGGGATTATAGGCATGTGCCACTGCACCTGGCATCACCACTTTTTTAATGTGTAAAAATATCACTTGTCCACAACAGTAAAGAAAAACGACGCTGTCGTGTCCCTATGCATTTTGTCCGTGAACTCATGGGTCGTGTCGTCCTCCAGGACTTGGTTTACCTCCTTCTAAAAGGTCTGCACATTCCTTGTTCTACCTGGGACCTCCCTCAGAGAGGAAGGCCTACACTGGAAACCCCACAGTGTTCCTGGCTCCATGGTCAGGGCAGGCTCCTGCTCTGAGGAAGAGCCAGGCGTTGGGTCCCCAGGTCACCCTCCGTAGCACCTGTGGGATGCTTCACAGGGTCTTTAGCATATCAGAAGAACCAGGACTTCCTGGAGGTTGGCACCTATATTGCCCTTTTATTTTATTTATTTAGTACCAGAGATTGAACCCAGGGATGCTTAACCACGGAGCCACATCCCCAGCCCTTTTTAAATTTTTTTTTTATTTTAAGACAGGATCTCAACGAGTTGCTTAGGGCCTTGCTAAATTGCTGAAGCTGGCTTTGAACATGCAGTCCTCCTGCCTCGGCCTCCCAAGCCCCTGGGATTTCAGGCCTCTGCTTATGTCAGCCTTTTAGATAAACACGTTATCTTTTTTTTTTTTTTTTAATATTTATTATTTAGTAATCGGCGTGTACAGCATCTTTGTTTGTATGTGGTGCTGAGGATCGAACCCGGGCCGCACGCATGCCAGGCGAGCGCGCCACCGCTTGAGCCACATCCCCAGCCCAACACGTTATCTTTTTAACTGAGGAGAAGAGAAAGTATTACCAAGGGGTTCTTTTTTTTTTTTTTTTTTAGTTTTTAAAAATATTTTTATTTTATTTATTTTTTATGTGGTGCTGAGGATCAAACCCAGGGCCTTGCATGCACTAGGTGAGGACTCTACCGCTGAGCCACAACCCCAGCCCCACCAAGGGTTCTTTAAAACTTACAATACCAAAAGACAGGCTGTAAGAGATGGAGGGTTAGATTGGAAAAAGAATTGGGAGAGGGTCATAGCCTCCATTCCTCTTCCCAGCATAGGGAAGCCATTCTCAATTTCAGTTTGTGGGGGGGAAATTCAGTCCATTTCCCCACACCCTCAGCCCCTAAAATACTTTCTCATTTCAGACATAACAGTATTACTCCAGCATCCACTGCAGCTTTTATCCCTGATTTATGTTTCTGTGGCTATTGCTTAACTCACTCTAGTCCCACAAATGAAGCCCTTTACCCAAAATAGGAAACAAATAGGAAGTATTTGTTCAAATAATTAAAGCAAATTTCTGTCTCTGGGAACAGCTACCCTAACATACATTTTGTGTGTCATTTATTTTTGTTTTCTCTCAAATTCTCAAGGAATTCTTTTTTTCTCTGCAGATAGTCCCAGTGGCAAGTGCATCCCAGCTCACCCTTGTGGACTTGATCTGTGCACTCAGCACCCTGCAGACGGACACAGTGCTGCACCTGGTGAAGGAGGTGGTGAAGAGGCCACTGCAGATCAAAGGGGACGAGGTGAGAAGCCCAGGAATACTGTTCCTGTAGGGGAAGGGTTTGGGCTTCATTAGGATTTGTGCAGCAAGGACTAAAGGAGAGCAGCAGGTAGGGTGAGCGACAAGCAGAGGCTCCGGCAGAGTCGGGGAAGGTGGGAAGGTACAGAACACCATGTAGAACTGGGCAGCTAGCGGATGAGGGTTGCTGGGTTTGCCGATAGCTGCTCAGGGTGGGTAGGCTCCTACCTTACCAGATGGGAGACAAGACCTTGACTTTTTTGTTATTATACTTCAAAGGGATGGCTCTGAGGTCCTTGAGGAAGAACTCCTGCATTGTAAGAGTTACATGGGCACCTCAAAGGGACAGAAGGAATTTTCATAATTACGAACTATTTTTATAAATAAAATGTTCTAAGAAAAGGATGTAAGGAGCCTACAGTCAAGTGTGGACAGGAGCAGGTGAATTCCTCTGGTGGCCTTGAGCTTTCCAGGCAGGGACTTGGAGCAGGGTGGTGACTAGGGCTCTCATTCCAGGGTACTGCTAGAAACTGTGCTGTGTGTATTTGCATTTGCCCAAGCCTCCTAGTGTGGGGATTGGAGGAAATTCCCTATGCTGAAGTTCTTTTGTTGTTTGGCAGTATTTGGGTTAGGGCCCAGGGTCCAGGCCTCACCACTGAGCTACGTACCCTGTCCTTTTTGTTGTTTTATTTTGAGACAGGCCTGGGCGAGAGCCGACTTGGGAGGAGAGGCATGTGGAGCTTCAGCTCAAGGCCTTAGATTAAAGTTATATGTTCTTGTCCTTCTTTAGTCTCCTTCCACCTGTGTTTTTCTTTCATCTCTCCTACCTCAGAAGCTGGTGAGCAAAAGCAAAATCATTTGAGAATCATAAAATTATTCTCAGTCACCATCATCTTTACCCCATAGTGAGAGATGACTACAGATGATCTTATCTTCAGCAGTATTTATAGACATGCTGCCGGGGGCTGGAGATCTCGTGCGTGGTTGTCCTGCCCTCGTCTTCTCTGGAAGGGCCTCTCACATGTAGCACAGGACACCTCTCCATAGAATCACCTGGGCCGAGGACCTGGCTTCTGTGGGCTGTGAGCCCGTCCTATGCTCAGGAACCTCATCCTTTCCAACATCTGTGGAAAGTCAACTCTGTGCATTGCCTGGTGGGGATCCTAAGCTGTGCAAAAGGGTTCCTGCCCTTGGTCCACATTCTAACCCTGATATTCTAGGTTGGAAAATAAGTGAGAAAAGAAGAGAAGCCCACCTAAAATTTAACACTGAGAGGCCTGGTTATGGCACCAGCCAAGTGATAAGGATGTACAATTACCCAAGATAACTTCCACAGTGTTTGCTGGAGCTCTGGCCCAGCATCTCCGAGAACATGTGGTCCCCCTATTGCCGGTCACTTTTTTTTGTTGTTGTGCTGGGGATTGAACCCAGGGCCTTGCGCATGCTAGACAAGCACTCTACCAGCTAAGCTGTATCCCCAGCCCTGCCATTCACTCCTGTACATGAATATTAAAGCAGCAGTGTAGATCAGAGAGGAGCAGGGATAGAGAGGCAAGCACATCCTCGGCCTGTTGGGATTTAGGACTGAGCAAGTGGTGGGTGTCAGGAAATGACACTCCCTGAGGGTGGCCCATGCCTGCCCTGCCTCTATGGTGGCAGAAGCATAGGAAGTATATAGGAGAGGGCCCTGTGGTGGCTTGCCCAGACAGAGTGGGCACTTGTGGGTTTTGTTCCCTCGCATTACTTGAATGTCTACAGATATTGGCAACTTCCTGTTTTGTCCAGGCCTTAGGAGGAAGTCGATGGCAGACTGGTTTTTAGTATTCCAAACCCAAACTACATTTTGTTTAGTTCCTTAGCTCAGCTTCTACAAATAATCTTTTATGAAGAAGCCAGTGGGGGGTGGGGGGCAGCGCGGAATGTGTTTCAAAGCCACAAAGGAGTTCAGCCACTTGGGAAGGCTGTGCACTGGTTTTGTGAGAATCTGTGTAGCTAAGAGGTGGAATTGCTCTTGTCCCCTGTCTGTAGGTAAGCAAGTGGACTTATGAGGGTCAACACTGGCCCAGCTTTCTGTTCGGGGAGATTCAACTAAAATGCCAAATTTTACTATGGTGTGTCTTGTTTTATCTGAAAGATTTTTCGGCTAAAATCTGTTTTTTGTTCGGATGCAGAGCTATTTCTCTTTGATTTGGATTCTTTGATAATCAGTCTTCTTTCCTCCCAACTTGGAGTAATTGGTTTTGCTTTAACTTTCAGAAGTCGCCCCTTGTGGATATTCCCGTGCTGCAGTTTTGCTATGCTTTTATCCAAAGGTAATGTAGTCCCCTCAGATACATTGCTGAATTGCAGATGCTACTGCAGTGACCATGGACGTAGACAACTCTGGTTTTCTTTCTTTCTTTCTTTCTTTTTTCATTTTTGTAGAACTGGATATTGAACCCAGAAGGGCTCTACCACTGAGCTACATCCCTGGACTCACTCCCCGCCCCCACTTTATTTATTCATTCATTTTTTGCAGTACTAGGCATTGAACCACAGGTGCATCACCACTGAACTATATCCCTAAGCTCTTTTTTTATGTTTTAGTTTGAAACAATTCTCATTCAGTTGCCCAGGCTGGTCTCAAATTTATAATCCCTCCTGCCTTGGCCTCCCTAATCGCTGGGATTATAGGCATGTGCCTCCATGCCCAGCTTGGTTTTATTTCTTGACTACTGGAGAGCCTTAGATCAGATAATATCTTAAAGGTATCCTCATTTCTTCCTGGGGCAAGGGAATGGACAAGTAGCTTTATTTTTCCTTCTCCAGAGATCTAATCTGACATTTAAAAATCCGTATTGACTTCATTATGTCAGCAGAACTTTATGTGAGGCCTGTTAAACTTTAAAAGATTCAGATTTGCATTAAATTGATACCAGCCCCTAACACACACACACACACACACACACACACACACACACACACACACACAAATACAAAGTGTCAAAGGCCTCTCTTAGCAAAAGGAGAAATGATGGTTTTGGTGATTGTGCTCATGGCTCTACTGGCCTATGCTGGGTGCTTCTGCATTGTTTGACTCCTTGATAACTATGGAGGTGTGGAAGTCCTGCACAGGAAGTTTCGCTGACCTCTTTGAGCTCTTAAAAGGCAGCTCCCCCGGGTACTGCTTCAGGGACTATTCTGTGCAGTAAACACAGATGGAGGGGTACCAATGACTTCTCAGGGAAGCCTCAGTATCCTCACCTATCTGCCCCGAGTGTCACAGCCAGCTACAGTCTCCCTGGTTCACATTTAACATTTCAGTTATTCGAACTTGCCAAGTTATAAAGTTGCAGGAGGGTAAATCGAGGACCATGACCCCAGAGACCCTGGGTCTAGGGGTTACATTCAGAGCGGTTCTCTCCTAGAGCAGTTAAAGATGAGCTGGTTACTTCCCTCTTATGAGAGCAAACATGGCACAGACAGTATTGTATAGTGTCTGAACCTTCCCAGCAGCTGCAAGGTAGGTTTTTGCTATCCTTCGGGGTGGCCAGGGACCAGAACTAGGCCCTGGGACTTCTGTCTGCACCTGAGCTTTAGAAGACTGCACTGCTGCCTGGCTTTGTGGCCATCCTGTTAGGGTCTGCCTCATCCCTCAGGAGCCTGCCCGAGAGCTGCTGGGGGTCGATGTGTGTCACCAGCATTGTCAGGGAAGCAGGGTACTAGGCCAGAGAGAGACTGAGACCAGTCATCTCGGGCTTTTATTCTGTTGACGAGGAAGCCACAGCAGGGTTTGGTCCCCTAACTCCAGCTGCCTGCCAGAGCACGAAGGAGAAAAACAAAACACAGGCCAGTCAGATGTGCTGTTTTCCTCTCTGCTTACCAACTCCTGGCCTAAAATGTTTTTAATAAGTAAATGTATTTGCAGTTGTTCATGGATGATATTTTTGTCATTGGAGGTTGACTGTGGGTTGTTATGATCTGGCCCTTGGTATCATTGGTCTAAGATTAGACAGTTACCCCAGGGCAACACACAAAGACAAATGAGGCGAAGACAGAGGGTTAAGGTGATCCTGGGGCCAGAAGCTTCTGCTCCTGCAGGAGGGCATTTAAGAAAAGACCATCCAAGGCAGGCTTATTGTAAGGCTGGGGAGGCAAGGGAGAGGGAGATACTCCCTAGAGAATGGAGGGCAGAAGTGTTCAATTTAACCGGGGCCAGGGCCCCTGACATGATTCAGCTTTCTGCTTTTGTTAGGATAGGAGGTGGGGCTTTCAGTGAAGAAAATCTGAAGTGACAGGTGCTTCCCCTCCTTGGCCTGGTGTTGGTGTAGGGTCCCCCATGTTGGGGGAGTCACACACCTGTGCTGTTAACGTGTTGAGGGCATGCAACTGTGTACTTTGGGCCATTTTACCTTTTCTGGCCTAAGACTACAAGTGGAAGGTCATGTGATGGTCAGCTGACTCTGGGGGCAACTTATGGGCACATGCATAACTCTGGAACATGATACGTGCCCGTGAGTATAAATGGAGAGAGGGGGAATGTGGAAGGAGACTGGCACCTCAGCGTCAGTTCCCAGCAAGGGGCTTTTCTTATAGTCCTTCCTATCCTTCCCTGATCCATTTCCTGCTCATCCCTAGCTGCCTTCCCATGCTAACATTGTTTCCTTTGTTTGTTTAAATAGGCTTCCAATACTAGCCTTGCAGGAGAACTTTGCTTCCCTGTTGGGAGTACTGAAGGAATCTGTGCAATTGAATCTGGCTCCACCTGGATATTTTCTGCTTCTCAGGTATCACATCACCACATTCATATGAAGGTAGTGTTTTCTGTCGGAACATATTTTATTTCTGCAGCATTTTTGATCAGAAACTAATTGTCCCCCAACAGCATGCTGAATGACTTTGTAACAAGAACTCCCAACCTGGAAAGCAAGAAGGACCAAAAAGACCTGCAGGTCTGTATGTGCAGTGTTCAGTGAATGTTGTCATTCCTGCGATGTCATCTTTAGGGTAGGTCACCACCAATGACCAGCACTGGCAGAGTCCCATCTTGGCTTTGCCTTTGATCAAGTTCATCATCTGCCAATGGAGGTGCAGGCAAGCTTGGGGCCTATATTTGCTATGAAGATTCCTGGTTAGTGTTTGAGCAGCCTACCCTAGAATTTACTGGGCCCCCCCAACCCTGCAGGGTATGCAGATGTCTGTGAAGCCCTCACTAAAACATCCATCTGCCATTACACATGGATTTATTTCCTTAAAAGAAGAAAGATTTCTTCCCTTTATTTTTCTCTGTTATAGAAGCATTGCATGCTTATAGAAAATTTTGTAAATATTGAAAAACAAAAGTACAACTTGCTCAGATGGAATACTTCTCAGAGCAGAAAGTTGACTAATATGTAGACTTCAAGATGGAGTTAGAGGGGCTGGGGTTATGGCTCAGTGGTAGAGTGCTCACCTAGTATGCATAAGGCACTAGGTTTGATCCTCAGCGCCACATAAATATAAAATATTTTGAGATTCTAAAACTAAAAAATATTCTTTAAAAAAGATGGAGTTAAAAAATCACTATTTTGCCACTGTTATAAAATATTGATTGATTGAGATGGTGACTTGTGGTCAAAGGC